GTTTTCAGGAGGACTTTCTCACTTCAACATAGATTCTAACTACTTTCTACCCGCTGATCACAGCTAATAGCAAAGCTGCTCTCTGGCATCGAACACAGGAGCAGCAGAAGCATCTGGACTCACTTTACTGGACGGCTGACCTTAATGTGGACAAGCATCAGAAATGAACCAGCAGCTTTTTTGTGAACGTAGCATAAAATCGTTAGATGCTAAAATCCAAAGCATCACATCATTCAATGTTTTTATATCTAACAGGAATCACTTCTTTAATTCTCCAACCGTGGTTTTTGCCTCAGTTCTTCATCATTGCTTCACTTTGACTCATCCCTGCCCTCTTTCAGGTGCTCACCTTTGACAACTGGCCCTCGGGGGCCCCATCAGTCAGGGAGGTGCAGAAGGTCAGCATCAGTAGCGGCTGTGCCACCCATCTATGTGGAAGCACCTTCTTCCAGCTGAGCTACGGAAGCGCCCAAACCGGTAACATCTAGGTTCCTCCACATGTCGGTGGGGTCGAGTGCAGCTCAGAGTACAGCTTTGGTGTTTTTCCATCTCCTGTAGGACCACTTCCTGTGAGCACCTCAGCAGAGGAGCTGGAAGCAGCTTTGAACAACCTGTGGTCCATCAAACCCGACACTGTTGAGGTCAGCAAACAGGAGGACGGTCAGGGGTCTCACTACACCATCACCTTCAACTCTGACAGAGGTACGGACTCACTCACTACCGAAAGCTCTGAAGGCCCACTGAATATAACCAACTGGATCATTTCCAGTCATCTTCTAGGTGTTCCTAACCATCCCATCCATTCAGTCCAGTTTCCCAGGAACACGTTCCTGTTGGCCCAAATCCACGACCCTTTATTGGTCCAACCAAACCCAAACCTTCCCTAACCTCTCCATAGTGAGCTATAGAGGGGGGTTCAGGTCCAGGCAGTGTTGAAGTCTCAAGCTTTCAAACACCTGACCTGTGTCAAGCATGTCCAGATGCTAGAGTTGGAAAATCTGAACATTTGCAGCTGGACGCTTCGACCAATCAGAGGAGCTTAGTTAGCCTAGCACCTACGCTACGACGACTACAACAGAATGGATCCTGATCTCGCTGAACTGACTGCAAAGATGACGTCTTGAGGTGGACTTTCTCGATTAGAAACTTCTCAAAACTCCTTTTTTCCTTCTCATCACAGCAAAACAACTTGATTCTATCTGCTGTTGTAGAACAGGGGCAGGAAAAGGTAAAGAAGCAGAGCGGCTTTTCCCAATACTGTTTCCCATCCGGCTCAACATTTTAGACATACGCCTGGAACTCGTGTTGCGCTTATCTCCAAGTTGAGGCATTGGACACATTTTTGATGAGTGGATGGCAGTAGTTCTGAACGGAGGATAAAGGGACTGTAGACACAGTTGTTTAGGCAGTGAATGGTTGCACACGTTGCTGGCAATGGGTCACAACAGAACCCTCCCAGCTGAAGAAACCCTGTTAAGATACAGAGCCTGTGATGAGAAGAAACGGGGCCACACGTCGTATAGATCAGCCAAACTGAATGAAGCCGTCTTTTCTCCTTTACCAGGTGACTTTGAGGCTCTTGACTTTGAGGTTTTGAGCTCAGACACCAACATCTCTGTTTCTGAGGTCACCAAAGGTCAGAGCAACATGGCGACCTTCACTGTGAGCTGGGCCGGGGTTCCTACGGCGCCTATCGCCTTCAACGCCACCGAGTCTGAGGTCTGTAACTGTCGCGTATAGATTTGGTCTTCATGTTTTTCCCTCTGAGACGTTCTGAGGTTGTGTCTCCAAACAGGTGCAGGCGGCCCTGGAGGACCTGATGAAACCTGACTGTCCTTCTGAAGTTCTGACCACCGAAGGCCTGAACGTGAAATACTTCAATGACTTTGAAAACTCTGAGGTCAGTGATGGCAGAGGGAAGAGGACGATTGTCTGACGGAGATGTCTAGCTAACTGTCCCCTGACCTCCGCAGTTCACAGGAGCTCAGAGCGGGACTCCTGAGGGCAACTCTGGCTTCTGTGGGTTCTGGTCTCTGAAGAACGCCGGCCATCTTTTCAGGGAGTCCTTCACCAAAGAGTCAGGAGAGCAGTACGGACCGCTGCCCCTGGACCAGCACCCCACGGTAAAGGCCTGAGAGACGCCCTAAAGTCCGCTCACCTCCAACCTTTTAACGTCTGTCTCCTCCCTCAGCTCTGCTTCGCCTACAAAGGGCCGCTGAGGGATGAACTTGGGCTGAAGTTCACCTACAGCGACAGCAGCGGTCAGACTCAGTCAGAAAACACCAGAATTCCCGCTTTGCTCAAAAGCAAGGACAGGTAGGTAGAGCGCGAGTTAAAAGCTGTGATTGGATGTTCTGCAGAGTTTGAGGCTGAGCGTTTCTTTGCAGATGGAGCTATGGGTGCCTGGACCTTCTGAGCGCTCTGCAGACAGCGTTCCTGGGCAGCAGGTTCAGCCTGCAGGAGCTTTATCTCTACGGCGACCAACCTGGTGCTGATTACTACGTGGATGTGGTTCACATCGGGAAGACTCCAACCACCATGGATGTAAACGGTGCTGTTTAGACATGATCCTGGGTTTCTTATCTGTCAATCTGTCGTTGGTTAAATCGGGCTTCCATTGGTGAACTCTGTGAGAAACACTGTGTTGAGTCGCAAACCAACTTCTTTTGTTTTCTGGTTTCTCAGCCGTTCCCCTCAGGAGAAGACCTCCCCCGTTCGAGAGCTCTGGGAGGTCCATCGAAGCGTTCTCAGTCACCAAACTGCAAACTGCACCTTCACAGATCACATACGAAATCACCGCCACGCCGCTGGATTGTGCGTTTGGTTTCCCGCTAATGGAGATCGGCTTCATGCAGGTAACATATGAGGTCTGACCACCTACCTCTCTCTCCACCCGCGTCACGCCATCCGCTGCCCGTCCTCTTTCCCGGAGTCTTCTTTCTTCCTAACCTTTTAGAAGATTTTCATTCCTTCTCCCCCCGTGAGTCCGGACTATTATCTCTAAATGCTGGTGAAGATTCTCAGCAAGCAGGTCAAAATCATTCCAAAAAATGTTAAAAACAATCCATTGGAGTTTAGCCGTTTCACCATCTCTGTGTGCGTTCTCATGTCAAGAGGATTTGCCAACGGAATGAGGATTTCTTTTGTTTGTTTTCGGGGCATTGCAGGCTAACAAAGAAGCCAAACTGTCATGAACCGAGGACAGAGGGAGCCAGTATTCAAGGAGAGACAGTCAGTAGGAAAGTTCTAAACATTTATTAAATATCAAGACGAAAACTAAAGTGGAGCTGTGGCTCGCGGATACTGCAGGAGGGGAGCGGGGTACAGCCCAATCTCAGACACTCTGTGGGAGAAACACAGGTAAGTGACCACGATCATCTGACAGAAGATGATTATCTGAGTTGGTCACTTACCTGGTTTAATAGTCCAGTCCAAGAATGTCCCCAGTGCTGCAGTTCCAGAGGTCTTGCTGGAAGCCGATCCTGGTCAGGGATCCAGAACAGACAGAACAGGATCCAGATCAGGCAGGAACAGACAGGTGGCAGGATCCAGACTTCCAGACATCATAGAGCTCTTAGGCGGGTTCAGAGTCTGACTGCGACCAGAAGCATGACCAGGTGGTCACGCACAGGAGCAGACAGGATCAGGTGCAGACAGGGAGGCTCAGTGGCAGAGGGTAGCAGGGACAGGACGTGGAACCAGAACTTGATGCAGGACCTTTAAACTGGTCTCCACCTTGGAGCCAGGCTTACTGAGATAAAAACTGAACCTCCCCACATATAGAGCCAAAACCGCGGACTCCGCGGGGGAGGAACAGTGGACGATCAGGAGACGAGACACACACAAAAACCCTCTTTCCCCTGGCCGCCAGGATCCAGGACAAGAACCATGGCAAAAACTGAACAGACAGACAGGAAATAATGATCTGGCCCCGAATGCTCAGGCTGAACAGAATATAACCCAGAAGAAACAGGTGAGAGGAATAAATTATAATTGAGGCAGGGAGGGAAAACGGCAAGTGAAACAAATATCTAATTAAGGGGGAGCAAACAGGCCAGATCATGAACCAAACGACCCCCATTGCAGAGGGGGGGACCCGTTCATCCGTTTCTATTTACAGTACATGTTTTCTAAACTAAAACCAGGCTTTGTTGGGCTGCTGGATGAAACCTGGAACTAAACGCTATTTCTGACATTTTGAATTGAACTGGAAAAAGTTTAAATCTCAATAAGTCATTTTTTCTTGAATTGAGGAGGTAAGTGTGAAACTTTGCCACTGGACCAAGACTGTTTACATTTAAAATAAGGAAAAATAATTGCATAGTCTGATATAAAGCGCATATTATCTACTTATGTTGTTTTAAGATTAGAAATACTCATTCCATAGGCTAATTATCTTATTTATCTACTCAAATTAAAGGTAAATACACTTAATTTAAGAAATGTTGACTTATTTCGAGATAATTTTCGCAGTGTGGATGGGAAGCGAAACGTCTTCCAACTTGGAAACAAAGTCCAGTGGATTGTTTCTTCATTTTTTGGAATAAACCTTTTATGCTTTTTGTTCTGAAGATGTCTAACCGCAGCGAGGACGCCGCAGAGTTCGTTACCGGAGGCACCGCCATCTCCGTCACCCGCCCCCAGAGCGCCACGCCCCCTCTTAGCGGCACATTTGACGTGGAGATTTACGGAGGCCGAGCTGAAGGTAAATTGGCGCCAGTGAGGGTCTGTTTGTGATTCCAGGGCGGTGCTGGGGCTGTGGAGGTGACGGGCAGACATCTGTGAGCTCTTTGAAAGGTTTCCAAAACAAATCATCCAGATTCCTGCTCAATCCTCCTCCTGTCAGAAGACAAAGAGCAGAACAGGAGGAGCGAGTCTGAGATTCTTAAAGGTGACAACGTGTTGACAGGAGCTGGATCTGAGCCACACCAGGAGCCAGACTTTTTAATCATTTAGCACATCTTGTTTTAACATTTGAACACCGTGTTAATCCTCTCTGTCACCATCGCTTCAGGCTCTGAATGAAGCGCCTCATTTCTTCTGGTTTAAAGGAAAAGTCCATCAAGGAATAATCAATGGATCATTATTTATAACTAAAACTAATACAGTCGTGGTGATTTAATGAATTTAGCGTCGCCGCCTCATCCTTCCCAGCCTGGATGATGCTGACCGAGCGTCTTCTCTGTGTCTGTCAGGTCTGCCTGTGAACATCAGCAGGGAGGACCTGAAGTACGCTCTGGAGGGAATCCCAGAGATGGGCCAGGTGGAGGTGCAGGAAGTGGGGAGCTGCAGACGTCCCAAGTGGAGGGTCACCTGGCTGAACAGACCTGGAGCCCAGCCACTGATGAAGGTCTGTCTGCACGGGGTTTTGGTCCTAAAGGTTCAGTCAGGAAATGCTTTAAAGTTCCTGCAGAGGCGATTGATGAATTTTCTCCCCGCAGGTCGACGACTCGTCGGTTGTTGGTAATAATGTCAACTTTGAGGTTCAGGAGAAAACAAAGGGAGGACAGTTGATCCGAGGCCTGACTGGAGACTTTTTCCGGGTTTGGGAAGAAGAACCGCAGGTACGTCCTGATTGCTCTGTCTGCCTGAGCCCTTCCAGCCTCACCAACGCTCATAACATGCTGCCTTCTGCAGGTGGAGCTCTACATTAACGGCATTCCCTCCAACTGCTCAGGGAACTGCAGCTTTCAGTGGTCTGAGGAGGAAACTCCAGTGGTGACTGGAATCAGTCCGTCACAAGGTGCGTGCTGAGCTCAGGGGAGGGATTTCAGGTGGTTCTGCTCCAGCCCTGCTGACTCACATGGTCCTCAGATCTTCTCTGTAAGGTCCCTTCATGAACCAAAGTCAAGCAGAAACGTGTCCTCTGAGAACCATCAACCTCTGATCCTTCCTTCTAAAGATGTTCTAAAGCAGAATATGGATACGGTCCGAATAAAACAGACGAGTTCAGTTAAATATTCTACTGAAATAAAGGGCAGGTTATTAAAAAAAGGATAGAATATCAGATCCAAAGCATTTTAGATAGTGCTGTGGGAAAAAAAGTATTCAACTATTTACTCCAGTTAAATAAACGGATATCGATGGATGTCATTCTGTCGGGACTTTATTTTACCTTTGCAGAGAGAGAACAGTTCATCATGACGCCATTACTGCACAGTAATCAGCCCTGTTCTGATCTGGCCAGCGTTTACCTACAATAATGGAAAGTAGTCAGAATCAAAACTAATTACAGACACTTTGGTTAAACTGTAACATGTTATAAATAAACCTTCAGAGAGAATCTGGCTTGTTAAGGGAAGAAGTTCAATTCTATTCAGTTTATTTCTATAGCTCCAATTCTCATCATGTCATCTCAGGTCACTTTCCAGTTCACCAGATCATCCAGTCAGATTGATTCAAAGTTTTCTATCTAAGGAAAACCAGCTGATTGCATCGAAATTTCCCTGATCCGATCCAAACCTTG